GAGAGGGATGACTGTTATCCCTTGTTCATCAGGTTGCCCGGTATCCCTTTTGAGCCATATCTGGATTTGCAGATCATCTTTTCATAAAGAGAGTATAAAAGAACTAAAATGCTTTGTTACTCAATTACTTCCAGTTCATCAGTTCCAGTTTACAGCAAGTTAGGGTCTCTCTGATGACTATGTGTGTGAAGAAGCTGAAGAAATATTAAATATTAACAAACATAACTCAATCGGTTTAGAAATTGGATCTTCATGGAATAGCATGCAAAGCTAGTAGTCTCTTGTGACCATTGCCTAGCTCCTTATTGTTACTACCTTTTCTTATAATTTATCCAAATGTTGACCAGAAGAGGTAAAATGGGCATTTGCATGAGATTTAATATGTTTAGAAAAATTCAGGTAAAATGCTTAGACTATTTTCTAGACTGATGACAGCATTTTCTCACCTCACTAGGGTAGCATAAAAATAAATAAATATTTTGGTGCTAATACTGTATTATTAGTGCTAATGCATTAATAGAATGTAACACAGTAATGTGCATACATTAAATGTTTATTTACATTATAAATAAATGAGTTACTGTAATACCTCAAATACCATGAGGATGAACACTATAAGAAAACTCATGAGGAAATGAATTGATGTTTTCAGAACAAGTTTGATTCATCTGCAGCGAATACAGCTCAGGGCCACTCCCTGAATGTGTGCTATTGGCTAGGTTCTCTTTGAATTTGTACAGTCTTGCCTGTGTCTTAAGTACCACACCTCCTAAATTGTCACAAGGTTAATAATGTTCTTCTAGTTCTGTTTCTTGTGTATGGTTCCTAGGTTTTGAATAAGTCATGTATAAAAATAGGTTTTTCAACACTGGATTATGCCCATGGATGAAACTTTTAGATCCTCTATGACAAAGGTCTGTAGCAGTGGTAGTAGCTGCTGGGCCAAATGGAGGACTCGCTGGAAAATTTGCCTTTTCAGGAGGGTGGATACACGAGAATTGACTTTGTTAGCTGCTAGGAAAGCCCTGTGAAGCCAGAAAGTGGAGAGCACTCAGTGAAGTAGGAAGCTACAGTGAATATGGCTCTTCACCATGAAATCCATTTTGTGGACTATGATTAGTCCGTGAGCTTTCAACTGGCTAATTTTAATTGGATTTTATTGGGAATGGTAAATAGTACACTCTTAACTCAACAGCCTGTTGTAATCAGTCCCTGCTTCAAACATAAAATTCCTGAGTTTTCCAAAGACAAGGCAGGAATATTTTTTACTAATAATGTGAAGAACAGCATCTTTTCCCTGTCTTCTTTAATTTCTTGGAAAATCATAGATTATTATGAATTACAATTATTCAAAATTTTTTTTCAAAGCAAATGTCCATGATTGAAAATTTAAATTTAGCCAAGCAGCTAAGCTTTAAAGTTTGGCGAACAATAAAGAAAAAATTACAAGACCTTACAAGCCTGAGTAATGGACAACCTTACTAACATGTAATGCTTGCCTATAACATCAAACACTGGAAAGAGAATCTGTCCTGCTCCTTCTAGCCTCTCTAATGATGTGTTTACAAAAAGTATATTATTTTACAGCAAACTCTATTAATTGCTTCTCTTTTTGTTGCAACAAAAGGAAGTGACAACAGAATACGCTGAATTCTCTGATTGCTTGGCCTGTCTAACCTATGTATCAGATTCTTACACTCTTCTTTTGAAATTCCACTGGAATTTAACAATGAAGCAGACATTAACATTAATGGAAGAAAATAGAAATTACCATACATTTGTTCTCTGTTTTCATCGTCAGACACTACAGTAACAGATGACAATTTAAGAAACTAGACAGTTTTAGATAACTTCCTGGATGCTTGATGGCTGTAATTAAATTAATTAGGGGCATCTGCACTGACTCTTCTGCCATACTGTGAATTTGCTCTCCTAGATCTTAATTATAGAGATTTCCATTATTCCTCTGCCTCCTAGATTTTTGTGAGGACCAAAATCATGTAAAGTATGTGGCTGCAGTGCTGGAGAAGGTTATACAGAGGGAAAGGCCTGCCCGTCTCTGAAAAGAACCCATAATCCTCTCTCTGCTGAACCCTGCTCCTTCTGGCCTCTCTAATGATGTGTTTACAAAAAGTATATTATTTTACAGCAAACTCTATTAATTGCTTCTCTTTTTGTTGCAACAAAAGGAAGTGACAACAGAATACGCTGAATTCTCTGATTGCTTGGCCTGTCTAACCTATGTATCAGATTCTTACACTCTTCTTTTGAAATTCCACTGGAATTTAACAATGAAGCAGACATTAACATTAATGGAAGAAAATAGAAATTACCATACATTTGTTCTCTGTTTTCATCGTCAGACACTACAGTAACAGATGACAATTTAAGAAACTAGACAGTTTTAGATAACTTCCTGGATGCTTGATGGCTGTAATTAAATTAATTAGGGGCATCTGCACTGACTCTTCTGCCATACTGTGAATTTGCTCTCCTAGATCTTAATTATAGAGATTTCCATTATTCCTCTGCCTCCTAGATTTTTGTGAGGACCAAAATCATGTAAAGTATGTGGCTGCAGTGCTGGAGAAGGTTATACAGAGGGAAAGACCTGCCCGTCTCTGAAAAGAACCCATAATCCTCTCTCTTCTGAACCACATGGAAATGTTAACAAGCATACTTGAGAGCATGGGGGCAGCATAGCTGGCCAGGCAGCACAGTAAATTTAAGGAGCCACCACCCTGTATGGCACGCTGCTTTGAAAATAACACTCTACTAAATAATGCATGCTGGTGTGCTGGCCAAGTTAACCTCACCTTGCCCAGACCTGCTGGTACAATGTGCGTTTGTCTGTCTGGAAGTATTCTGCGTCTTAGTAACCAGAGATGTCTCTGCCCTTAGGAGCTGAGACAGAGAAGGCTTGCAGCCACAAAACTAAAAAGTGACACACCAGTATACACATCACATTTGAACCAAATTTCTGCTGCTTTTACTGGTCTCTTTTCTAGCAGTAGGAAACTCTGATTTTCCTAACTGTCTTGAAATCCAGTGGGCACATTGTCCTGTGGTGCTTCGGCATTATATGTATGAGATGTATTTCAGTATGACTCTTTGAACCTCAATTGGGACAATGTAAGAGGTGGGTTCCTTGTTAAAGATGTCCTACTGAGGAAGAGATGTGCCCTTTTTTGCTTTCTCATTCTTTGCTTACTTAGCTTTTTCCTGGTCTGGATTGATAAGTCATTATTTTGATGATGAAAACTTTAGTATAGATATTCATGAAGACATGAACTGGTATGCAAATACGTGGATTTGGTAACATGAATGATTAGAGAAATCTTACAGGTCCTGCACCCGCTTATGAAAACTCAAAACAGTTGCCTACCTGTTTTAAGTGTCTTCCTTAAACCTTGATGTTGTAACCACAAGACAATAATACTCTCCAAGGTGGTTGTTTACAGCCTTCCTTCTTCCTCAAGGACAAATTTCTTTGATAGGAGAGAGTCAAGGTGAGCAGCCATGCAACTTGACTATAACAACTCAAGTTTTGATGTAATTTGTGCTAATGTGGATGATGGGAACAAAGGTGACATTCCTTGTTTCTGATATCCACTATTTATCTTAAACTAGTTCAGTATAAATAACATGCATTAAATGTTTCCCCTACACTGACAATAAGCCTTGATTAATAATTAATAGTATCTCTGGATGCTGAAGGACAATTCATTCCTTGTGCTTGGTAAATGTAGCACTGAGAATGCATGGCAGTATGTGTCTGGAGAGAGATTTATGGTGGGTCCCAGAACCAAAAGTTTAAAAAGGCTGTAAAATTCAATTCACCACTGAAGAGTCACTGTACAATAATATTTAGCACTTCTTCTGTTCTATGCATATAATTTACTGAAACTTCAAAGCCTTCCTAAGTAACTATCTTTTCAGCTGTTTTCATGTTAGAAGTCTTTTCTAAATAGTGAAATAATTAGATGATGGTTTCTATGTTCATTTAAGCACTTCATTTCCTGCTCAGGTTCATGGTTTCAGGTTGAAGTGGTAACTCCCAGTCAAGAAAAACTTTGGTCTCACAACTCTTAGAATTGTCCTGCAAGCACATAAGGAAACAGCCTTTCCTTGCTTTTCATCCCAGCTAAGAGATAAATTGATGACAGAATTAGTGAAAGGTCTCTAATGCCATGTCCAGGTCATGGCTCAGAGGAACAAGCAAAAATATCTTGACTGACTTCCATGCACTGTGGAGATGTACTGTAAGAAAAGTTTTAGCTTTCCCCTGCTGATCTTAACATTCATTGTTAGAACAGTTAAAACCAGAGAAATGGAAAACTAAGCACTCAACTGCTGTTTTTTCTGCCCTTCCAGTAAGAATGTAGGTGACTTTTCATACTCACCCTCCCATAAGCACACAGTTATGATGTTTTCCTTCTTTTTTCTTTTACTTTCTTTCAGATACCCAGAGATGCTGGAAGACTAAGAGACTCCACAAGGATGGTCAAGGCATGAAAAGAAAGAATTGAACTCATGATATTGGCTCACCCAGTTCACCTCCCTGTCTGCACAGGGCAACTCCATACCATATATCTCCTAATGATATTTCCAGTCTAAGTTTTATTTAGGACATGGCTGCTTTTCATTCTCATTCTAATTATAATCTTCCTATCTATGTGAAATAATACCCACCAAAAAAAAAAGAAGTTCTTAAAAAACAAAAAAAAAAGAAATAAATCAATCTTTTCTTTTGTTCTGGAACACACATATAAGTATAACCCGGTTAGACCTGTTCTCCTTGAATACTGAGGACTGAGCTGGCCTTATGCAAATACTCCCAAGCTCATTTTATTTGTTGTCATTGCAGACCCAATCAAATGAACAGGAAATGACCTAAGAAATTTCTCTATTGGCTCCCTGAGAGTTCAGTAAAATGTTTTAAAATTAATATCACATCCATTTATCTTCACTCCTGAGAGTCTGTAGGAGACATAACCTCTGTTTACCCAACCTATTGTTCTGTACACAGTTTTCCCACTACCTCAGCTAAGGATTTCCACTTCAGAATCTGCAGCTAAATGAGGTAAGGTCTTCAGGTTATATATATATATTGGTTGGTTTGTTTGTTTATTTATTTTTTATATACTTCCCTTAAATTGAAAAACTGAAACCAGTGAAAATAAAAAAAAAGAGAAGTGTCTGCTGGAGTCATGCCCACCCTACCAAGCTCCTACTTTCCCCTCTTTGGAACAGCAGCTAAGCTTATTTGATCAAAAGGCTTTTTAAAGTTACAATAAAGACTTCTGTTTTCCTATTCTGAATTTGTATCTTACTTCTGTTTAAATACCTCTGTTTTGTTTAAGTTTGAGTGGGACTAGATCTGCTGCCTTTATTTACCCTGAATTGTTATTGACTTTGAATTGAACCAGTGGCTTCATCATGATTACTTAAAGTTTCCTTAGGATTCTTTTTATTTATTTATTATTATCTAATAATATTCTGCTGCTTTTGTCCAGAGATCGGTCATCTGTTCAGTAAGACAAAGGGCGAGAAAGTGGACTTTCTCAATACCATTGAAAGTGTTGGTGTTGCAGAACTGGGCAACATCTTAAAATTGCGATGTTTCTGTTGCTTTTAGTGGTGAGGATGTTGATGGTGATCGTGCTGATAACAAAAAATTCTAAGTACATTTATAATTTGTCTCAGGTTTGTCCTCAGGGCAATTTCTTGGCAGTTCTGTGGTGAGGGGGATTCTCCTGATCTTAGTCCCTTCTAACTTAAAGCACTGCACAGAACCCAGCTCAAGCACTGAGTAGGTAAACAGTGTGAGTAGAGGCCTGCAGTATCTTTGCCTGTTTAATTTGTTTCTCTTCCAATGGTAATTTTATTTGAATATAACCAGAATTAGCCCCTTAAGGTTGCTTAAGTAATGGTGGAAGTGAATGCTAAGAAAAAAGTTGCTAAAGCTCTATGTTGATTTTGTAAAAATTTTTAATGGGCTTAGTGATAAATGTTTGCAATTCACCATGAGACATTTTAAACACATGCCCTTGTGTATATGGTCATTAAGTTACTTTACCGGTAATGTGCTTTTGGATTAATTAATCAAAAAATATCATATGATACCTTTGTTTCCAAAGTACATCCAACTATCATTTTTTCCCTATTCTGTAGACAAAGAAACCAGATCATAATGACATAAATTAACCATGAGGTAAAAGTTTAATTTAGTGATATTATTTGTACTTGTCTCTCATGGAACTGTGTTAAATATACCTATCCTGCACTAGTATTATCTGTAACTTGTGAAAGCTTGTAGTTCAATTTAAAAATGCACTCCTTTATGGTTTTTTTTTATAGCAAATTTGTGGGTAGCAATTTAAGCCAGTTTTATGACGTCTGTTTAGCACTGTAGAAAATACCAGAGCTGGAAAATATAGTAGTCTTATACTTAATGCAGAAACCAAAGAAAACACTTGTGATTAAAATTAGAAAAAAAAAAAAAAAAGATTAAGGTATTTTGCCAACAAATATCAATTAATGACAGTTGAATTCTTCTCCCTTATAGTTTTAAAAATCAGAATTCTTCCCAGAATTTTTAAGAGTTTAATTAAGTAGCTTGAAGTGGAGCTTATCTTTTAAGAAAATTTCCAATCTTAAAAACAAAATTATCCAGAAATCCAGTGATGCGAAATTCACCAGAACTTTTTTAAGTGCCTCAGCAATTAAATAACATTTGTCTAGAAATATTTTATCTTATTTACAGTCTGTGCAATGATGTAGCTTCAACATTCAGCTACCTGATTTTGTTGTATTTTGATGATTAATGACAACTTCCCCTAGATGACATAGTTCTGTTCCTTGGGTAGGTAGCTGAGGACAAGTCCTTCCTTAGCCTAGTCTTTGATAATTGTGGTAGTCTGAGCTCCATAGGCTATTTCCTTTCATGGAAAATCTTACATTGCAATGAAAACCTCAACCTGTTGCGTTGTAAACTTTTCCATCTTTTAATCACTTCAATAGTCTCCCCTAATGTTTCAAAATCTGCTGTGAAATTTGGATTCAGGACTGGAAGTCAGCTTCAGGAATAGCAGCACCAAAGGCAATATGTGTCAATATACTGGGAGTTCTGGGTCAGGATCTTATAAAGCATGTTCAAGTCATTGTCCTCCAAACCCTTCTTTTTTTTGAGCATTGGCCCCAATGCAGAGATGAGGTTTTCTGTAGAACAGTTGATGTTGTTTGTTTGAATTTTTTTTGCCATTTTTTCCTAGTCTAGTGTCATTTGTAAAGCCTATAAGGATTATAAAAATGTATGTTTTTCCTGCGTTGTAGTAGTAAAGGGTCTCTTATCATACCAAAATAATGCCTTGTTTGCCCCAGAACCAATCAGGTAGCCCTTCACAGCAATCTATAGGGTGACAACAATACATATTAACCCAGTCATGGTGAGATCAGATAATAGAACGTGGTGTGTTTAACATGGGATATTATTACCCTCTTGTCACCTGAGAAAATATATTATGGTATTTTCAGAGTAATTTCATATTACTTCAGATATTCACACAGTGTTGTGAGTTTTCAACAGTAGTTGAAAGAGACAATAGGAGAGTTGGACAAAGACAAAATTAAATAATTTAGTTCCCACTGAACTTCCTTGATTTTTTTCATTCCCAATGAATTTTACTGTTAACATCAGTACTTTTTCTTTTTGGGAGATGCAAGGTAACAAATTACAATGGAGAGAGATCAAACTGAAAAATAAAAGTCATCCAGAGACACAGGATGAAGAGAAATTAGAAAAAAGAAAAGAAAAAAAAAAAAAAAAAAGGATTTCTGTAGATGCATCTGTCCAGACAAGACTGACATGTTAGCTTGTTGCTTGCCTCACAGCTATTCTCACCAAGAAAAACCCTGCAAGGATGAAATTCTACAGCTGTTGAAGAAGTGAATATTTATGTACAATTCTCACAGAAGAAGATTAATAGTTTTGCTGGCTCAGAGAACTCAGAGAACTGTGACACCTTTCAGAGATCTGTGACACCTTTCTAGAATCAGCGCTTACCTTCCCTCCCCTGTTCAACCCCTTCATGCTCTTTATAAACATTCCTAACTTAGTCTCATGATCAAATAATTCAGTCTTGTCCCAGGCAAACTTCCCACTAAGTGCAGTGTAACCTCAATCTGTTCTGTGGAATCTACAGTTATGTGCTTTCTATTGCTGTTTATTTGCTTACATTCTATTTCCACACGTGTCCAAGTTCTTCCTGCAGTACAATGAATACCATCACTGTGAACTGGAGCAATAACCTACAGTACAGAGAGAGATTGGAAGGGGGGTGGTACAGGATACAGGCCTGATGGGCTTAAAATTGGTCAGTGTGTCAAGACCATGCTATAGATAAAGATGAATGACCACTTATTATTCTGATGGCACTCTGACCACCCTTTACAGGATTTTCTCTGTTCTTGCAGTGCTGACTTTCTCATCAGCCTTCCTACAGTTGTAAAGTAGGTATTCTGTTGAGGACAAAGTATTGTTGAGGCAAACAGCACATAAAAAGAAAGAGTCACAAACTTAATTGTCATTACTAATGACATATGATGATATGATGTGGCAGAAACAAATATAAAGGCTTTGCTGCACATGAGGAAATGACCAGAAATGCTAACTAGTTTTCTATCTTGCATAGGTTGTGGTGTCTAGGGAAGTAAAGTCTCTGCCCAGTCTCACAGCCTAGTTACTATTGAACTTTCAAGCACAAACTCATGGAATTTTCTTCCTTATAAGTGTCTTGTGAGCAGCAGTGATGTCCAACACCATCTTTAGCAAAGCTCACTGCTTTCAGTCAGTCAGAGCCTAGTGCTCAAGGGCATTTCAAGATCTAGAACTAAAAATGTCTCCTTCTCATTCTTTCTGTCCCTACCTTCAGCACACCCTGCAGCTTACATGTATTTTAGCCCCTGATAAACTGAGGATTTATTTTAGTAAATTTTCGAGAAAAGGGTGCATTGCAAACTTGGTAAGGATGAGATTCATAAACAATACTGCTGATAGAAATGGTAAGCAAAGAAGGGTTTGTTCACATAGGTGGGATATGGAAAAGGAAGTATTAATGTAGCTTCTATGGAAGTAATATGAAGTCTTTCTTAGTATGAGAGGTTCTTTGAGCTCTAATAGGGATATAGTTTGTACCAAACCCCTCACTGAATGCCTAAAATGCGTGCAACATTTGTTTTTCATTGATCTATAGAAGGGTGAGAATGAGTAAAACATGCAGTCATGCAGCCAGTGGAGCAATCAACTGGCAGTTGCCATTTTGTGCATCTCCCTCTGAGGAAGAGACCTTCAAGACTCCTTTTCCAAAAGCTGACATTACACAGGGTTATTGTTAATTTTTCTCTGCTGATCCAGTGAAATGGGCCCCACAGGAATCCATATGAGAACTATTAGGCAAAACTGCTAGCTTGGGCTGTGTAGTCACTGGTTACAGACCAAGAAGATGAGGCAATAAAAGAGAATTGGTTGGCAGTGATGAAAAGGAAGTAATTCTACTTACAGGATCTGCAAAAACTAAACTAAACAAACACTAAACTAAAACAAAAGTCCCTGCCTACTATGGAGAAATGTTACAGGCATAAACACTTGAGATATTTCCTCAGCTAACAATCAGATGTAGTCAGAATAGTCTCTTGAGCCCCTACAAGTCTTTAAGTATGAAGGAACTATGTGTAAAATATACTCTACTGTCCAAATTACTAGTGCCATCATCAACTCTTGGTTTTCTTTCATCTAGCTCTGAGCAGGTAACTGATTTCTATTGCTGTGTAATTAATGAACCTGTGTAGATCTGCCAAAGATCAAGGTAGGGAATCATGATATAATTATTAGCCCCAACCTGTCTTAATGATTTTTCTGAAACGTTTAATTATTATTAAACAACAGTTTAGAACCTTGCATCTTGATGCTACACTTTCAAAGTGTGCCTGCTTAAGCAATTGTCTCATAGATTGGCATGGCTGTGGAGGGGCTTTATCACGGAGTCAAACTCTGACATGTTCAAGGGCACGGTTCTCATCTCC